ATTTACAGCCATCGAGGCACTCTTCATGTTAACGGCTAAAATAGTTCCGTTTCAAGATTTATAATTTAACTGTTTTTATTTCTCCGTTAATGTGTTGCCACTTCCAGAGAATAGAGGCGCTATCGCCATCTCTCTTCAATATTTCTCATTTCGTGGCTTGAGGCGATACCGAAATATTTGGCGTTTGTTTTTTTTTCGGTCGTCTTCGAATGTTGGTCAAATAAAAATGAAATTAAAATTGATGAAAAAATGATCGTATATATGAAACGAATATGCTAAAATATAACCGTAAATATGTACGTATACATGTATATATTCTTTTAGAGTATCTCTTTCGGGATGACATCATGAGTGGGTCAGTTTTTGCGTGTAAAAGCACAAACACACACGCGCGCAAGAGAGTGAGCGTGTGCTTGGTCAGTCCATCGTGAAAAAAGTGTGTCAGTGATTTTACTTTCAGATCGAGTACGTCTTACGCATATATTCCGGAGCCCCGAATCATTGCTGCCCAATGAATAAATTCGTTGGTTTTCTTTCTTCATTCTCTCATAATGATTGCGCAGCGCTTTCGTTGTCTCATAGCTCTTTTTTTGTTGTTGTTGTTGTTTTTGTTCTTCTTCGTCTTCTATATGTTGCGTATATTTTAGCATGCTTGATCAAAGTATATGTATCGTGATTTTGGAGTTTTCACGATTCGATCAAATTTTGTTACTTTCCTGTTGTTGTTGTTGTTGCATTGTCTACCATTGACCAAAGAATATTAAATTTCAGTGGCCGTTTTTGTAATATGTGTGCCAACATGAAAGAAACATTTATTACAATTCGATGCGACGCGATTGTCAATGCGTAAAATTAAAGATTGTGCGCATGAATTGTGTATTTCTTTTTTTTATTTTCGGCAACTATAGCTTGTACAATATTTCGGCAATGACAATATCCGCATGCGCGTGTGCGCATTTCTTTTGTTTTATGCTTTCTTCTCGAATTTCAAATAGAAATAAATCGCACCATGAAGAAGCATTGACAAAAATTCAATGCATAATTTGTTTTCCCCTTCTTTGGTTCGTTGGTGTGTGTCTTTTTTTTATTTCTTGACGTGACAAATTTCTACAATGTAAATGGCGAATTGCTTCTCATTTTTTGGGAAACCGACCAGCATTAAGACCATCACGAATATGATTAATATACGCGACACAAACGAATTTAAGAATCGAAATATTCGACGAAGAAATAAAAAAATAAACGCTCGATGACAGAGAAAACTTTCTATTTTCTTGTCACATTCGTAATTCGTGCTTGAAATCATTTTGGACGGTGGTCAAAAAGTAGCAGCAGCAGCAGCAATGGCGATGGCGAATGGCCATCATGGACACTGTATGTTGGTCACACATCTTAACAATTCGATAAGAGTCTTTTTTTTTGTTATTTGATCAATATTTTATTCAAATCGAAGTGCTTTCAAGAGAAAGGAAGATCCACACGCGCGCAGACATATAAAAATACAAATCATTAGCAATTCTGACAATGCGCTCACTCGAAATACTTTTTTCTCTCCTTTGAACGGTTACGAAACAGAAGCTATAGCTTTGATAGTTAAATTTTTCTGTAATTTTGCATATTAGAGTGTGAATTTTTTTATCATCACCGATTTAATTTTGAAATACAAAGTTGCATTGGAAATCACGGCGATAATAAAACAAAAACCATTCATTTCAGTCTACAAGGAAGTGTTTGCACAACTGGAATTTTATCTCATCTCTCAGAATTTAATAGAATGACATAGTTGCTGATTGAAATCGACACAAGCCACACATTGTAATGTTTATAATAGGCAAGAATGATCGAGGGTCAATAAAAAATGGAACCATTTTTAAACAGCAGAGAGTTGTATAAACACAAGCTATCAACATCTTTGATAAAAAAAAGTGCTTTGTTCTTGGCTGTGATAGGGCATTGTGAACATTGTAGAAGAAAAATTGTAGATTAGAACAAATGATTATATAATTGCGAAATTTGTGACTATGTATCAACCGACATTGTGTCAATTTCATTACGCAATAAAATGTAAACAAAAAAAAAAAAATTGAGGACAATTCAGAGAAAAAAAAACAACCTTCTGAACAGAAAATTCCAAATCAAAAAATTATAAAGTCAACCATCTACCTAAAAATGCTCAAAAGTGTGCGCCTGAAAGATAAATGTATCACCTCAAATAAAAAAAAAAACAAAAAACAAAACAGAAATAATAATAATTGAAAGATAAGAATTTTTTTTGTTATTTTTTCTAATGAAATCTTAAAGCCGCATTTTTCTGATATATTCTGATTGTGTCGACATACAACACATCATAATTGTAATGATTCCAAAAAATGATAATAGACTTTAGGCATATCTGGCCCACAAAATGCTCTCGTCGCTTTAAGTATGTGTATATATGGCGCAAAACGCACCAAAAATTTCTGTGTTTATCTCAAAATTAGGCGAAAGAGAGAAAACAAAAGATCGACAACACCGATTTTGTCATCAGCCAGCCGCACAATAGTAGAATCAAGAACTCAATTTCCATTTTCGGCTTCTCCGGCCATATTTACTATTGGTCTTATTGATATATTTCAAATCTAAAGTGTGTTTTTGTTTTCAATTCTTCTCTCTTTTCGGTCGCATCAGTTTGAATGTCTCTTTCGCTCTCTGTCTTTTTTGTTTCATGTACTGTGTGCAAAGGGTGTTTACTTTGCAGTGATAATGGCAGCAGTTACATTGTATGTACACAACTACAGATGAAATAGAAACTAGAAAATAGAAGACGAGACATGAGGAGAGACGAAGAAGAAGAGGAAAAAAACACCAATATCATCCGTTGCGCGCATTTACAATATTTCGTTTTTGTTTTGTTGTGTATAAAGTCCTATTTTTGCACTTACGTTTAGCCTAGACTTTGATTATGTGTATACGTTCTATCTGTCGACATTAGAAAAACTGATTTTGCCATAGATAAGACAACACATAAAAAAAACGCTCTCTAATCAACTGATTAGACGCAGAGTGTTCTATTCAATTTATTATATTGTTCGTTTCTTCCTCTTTGTTTATTGCTCTCTTTGTAATTTATACAGTTGTACATATATTTTGAAGTTTAAATCTACACATGCGACACATTCCTGACATCTCAAATGCGCCCGTGTAATAAATTCACACACACACGCACGCACATCAAATGTACACAGTGGCATTGTGCACGCTCAAATATATGGTGAATGATGATGACACACTTGATCGAAATTATTGCGCTACTGATAAGAAATTCTCATATTCTGTCGACCGCCTTCAACTACGAATTGCTCAAGGAAAGAACAAAACGTATATCTTCTCTACGGTTTTTCTTGTATCATTTTTGTCAAATGTACTTCGGAATCGTTTAGAGTTTGACCTTTTCCATAAATCTATCGCAATCTGTTGCATTTTGTTTCCGTTTATGCGGTTAATGTATCCATTTTAAACCACATGCTTGAAAACATCTTAAAATCTCATCATTTGTCATATTCCTGAACTCGACGAACGATTGATGCATGGCTACATTGTTTTTGTTTTTGACTTGTAATCCGTCATTTTAAATTTATACGGAGCAAACACATTTCTGATTAGAGATTCTATATGAATAACAAAAAGAAGGAATATACCTTGTGCCTAGCTTATCGCGTGCTCATTCGTTCGCTTCATTCGCTTTAGTTTCAAGTTCAAAAAAATAGTTTCGATTGAACTTCAACGCGGTTAAAAGTGAATGACACACAACGTGCAATGATTGCATACAATTAAAAAGCGATTAAATGTGTGCGATTGTTGTTTGCAGAGTATGTTGCATCTATACATCTATCTTGTTCACTCTCATTCGATCTCGATCGGTATCTCTTGTTTCGTTGCCTCCCTCTTTATCTATTTTTCTCTTTCTTATTCACTCCGATTTCATATCATGAGCAAATGCATTTGTTGCAGCGCAAAAGCCATTTTTTTGCTGAAGCACAGCATCCCGAGCTTGTTTTTCCACACTAAGCCATTTTTCCCTACCTCTCTTCTATATTCGTCATATTTTCTCGCTCGCTTGATTGAAATTCAATTGGATCGTCATTTTTTCGGAGCGCAATTTAATTACAAATTCGATTGGAATGATTTGTAAGAAAAAAAAAGCAGAGTAATAAAATCGATCGCCACTATCACATCGTGTGAACAGGATTTGTACCGATTAAAATTCACTCAGATACGGTTGTTGTTTTTTTCCCTCGGTATAATATTTCAATGTGAATGTTTATCACTTTTATCCATTCGGATGCGCGTGTGCGCTCGCTCGAACGCTCACCATCTCAGAGGTCGAACTCGTTATTTTTATTGTAAGTATTCTAATTACACATGCGACTGCAAAAGGAACGGAGACTTGAAAGTATACATAAACAAGATCAGCTTTATTTGGCGATTCGTTTTGTGTAATAAATACATGGCTGCTGCGGCAACAACGAGCAGCATAAAATGACAGAAAAACTTTCACTTGTGCGAATAGATGATGAAGCGTTTGCTCTCAACAGACACTATATCTGTGGCCGTTGTTTTGCAAGCATCGGTTAGAGGTGAAAATCTTGAGAAACGGCCAAGCACATTATAAAAAAAGCAAGAAACGGAGAGCGGCGAGTGGAGAGTAGAAAAGAGAAGGAAAAAAATGTTGCTGTGGTTTTTGTAATCCATATAAATACGCATACGTAAATTACTGTTTGAATTCTTGGAAAATTATTCAAACGCACTACTACACGGTGGGTAATTGGACTGAGATTGGTGATGATTTGATGCGGTGAAGCCGTACGGAGAATCTCCGACAAATAGGGAAGGGTGATTGGTCGCTCTCCATCTAACTCTTCAACAAACTATAATGTTTTTAGTTTCATCGCTGGTTTGTTTGCTTTCATTCAAATCAACGAAACGAACAAAAAATAATTCACGTAATCAAAAGCACTTACCTTGTATTCTTGCAGCAGATTATTCCATTTTTTGATGATTTTCGATAGCGGTAACGGTACGTTAAGCTCACGTTCAACCACACTACATGATGGAAAGTAAAAGAAAAGAGAGAAAAAAAAGCAGAGTTCCCATTAAACCAAATATATTTATATAGACATTCAACCGAAAGAAAAATTCCAAATTGATGAATACAAAAAGATTTCTGGCTGTCTTATTTCTTTCTTTTTAAATAGCATTTGGTTGAATTAATGAGAGATCATTTAAGATCTGCACACGGATATGAATTTCGGATGTTTCTTTTTCGGCAATCATTTTTTTATTGTGCGCGCGCTTGTATTTTTTTAAAGAGTGAAACGAGGCCACATCATTTGATGCTTATGAGTGTTTTCTTTCTTCTTTTCTTCTTCTTCTTCCTCGATGATGATGATGATGAGTAATTTGACAGAATGGCTAGTAATTCACTTAAAAGATTCGAGATGATTTCGCCATTTTAAGAAAACAACAGAAGAAAAAGAAATAACTGACCGTTTCCAATGACGAACGAGTGAATATTGGTCAATAAAAAAGGTGAAATAAAAAAAAGACTTTAAATGTATAACCACTTGCAGTAATACAAAAAAAGACATTCTGTTTGCGTTGCGTGTTTTTATGATAAATCATAAAGCTCGGGAAATTTCCATATTTCAGCAACAGAGTTACATAAAAATTCATTGAACTGCACAGTATCAAAGCGGATTGATCTTAAACAACAGAAAAACAATGTACTGACTGTAATGTGTATGCATATGTTTTGACCGAAAGTAACGTTGGCCATCGAATGGGTTGAAAGGAATGATTAATGACGAGAAAGTGAATACGTTTGCCAAAATATCAATGAATATTCCCGATTTAAGAATGGCCATAGATAAACTGTGTTTTTGCAAGCATAAATGAGATAGAGTTTTGCAACTTCGAAATTTGAAAGGATGAGATCATTCCGAAGCGATTGGTGACTGTTTTCGGTCAAAAAAAAGCCACAACTTGTGACTGTTTGAAATTATTTAAGTGCAAAATGTGTCACCGTCATTGTTTACATAATTACAACAAAATCAAAACATCGATGAACCACTTTGGAATCGCAGTGATTTGATGCATACTAAACAGACGTCGATAGAAAAACAAAATATTTATTCATTTTAATTAAAATGTAAAAGATGAAACGAAATTTCTCATTGTCTAATCAGTTGAATAGAAACTGTGATTTTTTTATTTCAAAAACTTCATTGGAAGTGGTCAGTTTGGCAATAAATAGAAAGAAAGAAAGAAAAAAATACTCGCAGCGACAGTCTCATTTAAAATAAAATGAAGAAAGAAAAAAAACGAGTTAAAAGAGATAGTATCAAGCATAGAAATAGTCTGTGTGCGATCGGAATGGCACGTAAGCACATTTGAATGGCATTAACTGTTAAAGAGGCAAAAGCGAAAATATTTGAAAGACGAGGCGCATGTGAGCATATATAAAATACATTTGCGCACGGCAGAGTTGATGGAGGGCATGGTTTGCATATTTATTTTAAATATTCTGCTTCTGTTTGTGTTTGCCATTAAATCGAAACTCTCACTTTTCTTAATTCTTCTCTGTGCTACGCCGTTGCTGTTGCTGTGTCTGCTTGTGATGTTTCTTTTTATATATCGTTTTGTTGTTTGGTTTCATTGTAAGTTGAAACATTATTACCATATGCTCTTCACATCTCTGGCTACTTCTACATTCGAATCCGGCGGCTCCGGATCGGATTGTTTTCAAATCGAAATTTTCACTTCTTTCATTTTTTCTTCGTATATGCATATATATTTTCGTCGATGGTTCATTCTTTTCTCGTATCCCACTCCGAATTGGATTTTTCTTTGTTTCCATTGAAATTCGCAAGGTGCTGTAATTTATATATATCGCGTCGTTGTTATTTCTTTTCTTTCATTTATTATTTCGTTTCACAAATTACGAATAGTCATTGTGATTAGTGTGTGTATGGAAGAAAGAAAAAATAAAATTATTCCATTAGTAGTCTAATGGTGAATCCATTCAATCATCGAAACAAAACCCAAAACGATGTGCATACATACGTACACACAGAGAGCAGAAAATATGAAATTTGCCGATTTAGAAAATTGTGCGCACAAGAGAGAAAAGAAGGCTTGATTTTGTTCAGTGACATAGTCAACGAACCGTACCACACACAATGTAATCTACGAATGCGCTGGCGCAATGAATTCAACACACACACACTTACATGCTGTCTCTGTGGTGCAGTTTGAATGTAGTTGTCGCAAAGAAACGGCCGAATAATTCACAAGAAACCACAATGCAACGTTAAATTGAAGAAGAAGAAATAGAAATGTGTAGCAAACAAAAAATTATATGCTTGATGACGTGGTGTCATATTCACCATTCAATTCATATATTTAAGTGTTATTTCTTTTTTATACCTCAATCGCAATATAAAGTTTTTTATTCGTACAATGTACTTGCATTAGTCTCTTCGGTGGATTTTTTTTTGTTTCGTGCGCTCACCATCATTCGAGCGATCTAAACTAAAAGCTCCAAGAAGATTCCACATACACACACATAGCACATATAATTTAACTTTCACTTTTCTCATCGTGCCAATGCCGTTGTCGTTGTCAATATAGCGGAGAGCATCATCATCTAGCTAACGGTACAATTTTCGGAACCAGTGTGCTGTGTGCGTGAATTTTCATTGTATGCCCGTTTTTTTCTCTATTTTGTTTCTTCTTATTCATTTGCCATTTTTCTTGTTCGCCAATATGCGCAAAAAGAGCAATAACAGCGAAAAAAATTTCGTTGTTTTTTTTCTTTGAAATTTGATTTCGTTTCATTCCATGCAGTTCGTTTCTCTCTTCGTGTTAGAAAATTAGCCGTCATAAAGGCTAATGTACGAAATTTTTCTTACATTTCACTGCACGTATAAATGACAATGGACTGCTACACATATTTTTTTATGTTCACTTCTATTACAGATACTGGTTTGTTGTGTTGACGGTTTTTTTTCGGATTGAAAACTGCTACGTAGCGCAAATTGTTGAAGTGAGATTTGCACAGAGAGACAACAGCAAACAAGACTTTAGAAGCACATAAGAGAATATAAAGAAAAATAATGAATCAACACAACATTAAGAAGCACCTTAAAAAGAAACATGGTCTCACCAAACCCCAATCACTTTGAGAGTAGAGTAGAAATTGCGTGTGCAACAGTTGAAGAAATCGAAAGTTATATGACGAACGAGAGTGGCAGTCTCATGAAGAAGGTCTACTTTTTTTGTCATATGACCACCGTTGTTTTTTTTCTTGATGTTTAGATTTAAATGAAGAAATTAGGTTTCTACAATTTAAAAAAAAGAGCCATCGTTATGATAAACATTTGGCTTAAAACGTTTGCTTTCATTTGACAAAAATCAAAATATTTCGAAATTTCAATTTAAATTATGCATTTTTTTTTACATATTTGAATTTCAAAACAAGCGACCATAAAATCAGCATAGACATTTTTATTCATAATTCGCACCTTCGCCGTTACAGCAAATAGAAGCGATGGCAAAATTATAAAGAATAAATAATAATAAAAGTAAAATAACCAAATCTGAATAAATCGGATTTTGAAGGCAAAAAGAAAGAGACAAGACAGCATCGCGCCACTTAAATAAAATTATGTATGTAAAAAAAAAAGAGTTTGTAGTACTTACGCCCATGCATATTTGGAGGCATTTCGTTTCCCAGTAAACAAAGGAGAAAGTTCTGCACGTAATCGTATCAGTGTTTTGACCTTCTCTGCTTCCCCTGAAAAATGTAGCGAAAAATAAGAAGAAGAAAAAATAACATAAAATGATTGCGATTAAAAACAACAAGCAATATAAAGAAAAACAACAACGAAAAAAAATAACATAAAAACGAAAGAAGACGCAAAGCAATCAACTCGATCAGCAAGAAAATAGAAACATTCCATCAGTTTAGAGTTTATACAGTTTAACAACAGCAATAGCAATGTAAAGCAGTAATGGATCAATGCTATTTGCAATAATCATTAGAAACATGAAGAGATAAAATGCATTAGATACTCTCCCAGTGTACTTGAGCGCGAGTGTGTGTGTGTGTGTGTGTGTTTGCGGTTCATGTACTGAAATCATGAAAAGATCGTGGAAAACAGAAAAAAACTCGGGGGTAGGGAAAAAGCCAATAAACTGCTTTCGTTGTTCGATCAAGCACTCTTTGGCTAGTTTAAGTTTTCGCATGGTAAGCTCATAGCTTATAATGCAAGATAATCGCAGTGCATTCACACACAATTGCAATTGAAAAAGATAGAGTCGATGTTTGCGATCGAAACAAAGAAAACTACAAATTTCGAACCGATCTTGAAACACACCATGTCATGAAAACCATCAATTCGAGAAATATGCGCGCGCTCACTCTGCGCAAAAGGCAGGTAAAGTCAGTTACCTGCTCGTTTCTTTTCTTTCTCTCTCTTCAGTTTCGTATGTATGATGATTATTAGTGGAAGAAGTAAAAGTGTTTTCGGCACATTCCAGTTCTGAATTTTGAAGCATACGTGCGCACACAAGTGTCTATGCAAATTGCTATTTATTGTTGTTATTGTTTTGCAGCACTTTCTCAACTCATTATGTTGTGTGTGAGTCAGTGAGTGCTGGTAAAATGCGTCATTGAATCGACAATTTCGGGTTTCGGCACAAACTTGATCACCAGCATAATTACATGAAAGCCTAAAACATTCAATGGACTCATTTATTTTGTTCGTTCTTTCTTTAGTTTTGGTGTTTTTGCAATGCATGCAATGTCAATGTTCAATGGAAGTTTGTTAATGGCAGCAAAAATCACCAAACCAAACCCAAGCTCGTCGTGTACTAAACACGAAAGAAATCTTTCTTTCGATGCAATTCGGGCTGGCAACAGGCACATCAAAGTACGTATTAATTCGATACAAACAAGAAACGAGTCATTTTTCTTTTGTGTGTGTGTGTGTGTTTTGCCTTTTATTTTTTCGCCTGCAATTTATTGGCTTCGGTGTTTTTATTGTTTCCATCGATGGAATTTTCACAGCTTGATTTCCAAGAAGAATGCCTGCTGCTGTACAATCGAAGGTGAACACAAAACGCATTTGATTAGACAATTTCAATTGATCGTTCATTGATTATGTATAGTTTCATATACGCTGGCAACTATATAGAATAAACCCTTGTCTCCCCACTCCCCACTGCTTTTTTTCTCGTCTTCTACTTTGTTTTTTTTTTTTTTCAATAAATAGCGTTATGCTTTTGCGTGTGCCAATACATCGAAAAATCGGTTCAACGTTTTCTTGAACGCTTATGCCAAAGTCACTTTCTTTTTGAAGTGAATCGAACAAGAAACAAACGCAATTTGTATTTTATTTGTTGGTTGTCAAACCGCGAAACAAAGCAGAAAAAAAGCTAGCAACAAGATAGATTTCTAATTAACATCACATCACTTTGTGTGTTTGTGTGACGTAAATGGTAACATTTCAAAGCAACCAACATAAATTTGTCTATCGACGTGTAATTCCATTATTCAAACTGGATGGAGTACCGTTTCACTTGCCTTTTTGAAATGTTTCAGTCGATGAAATTATGCAATCTATTTCTTTCTATTTCTTTTTTCACTTCTTGATTGCGTTTTAATCGTCTTCGATTCAAAATTTCAAAAATGGCATTCCATCAATTGTGCGCGAATTATTTGAAAATTCAACTGTCATTCAATCGAAAGTGTTCTCTTCCAAAACAAATCAAAATAAAAACATTCGCAAAATTTTGCACGCCTTTTGTCTGTATTAAGAAAATAGATTTAGTTTTTTTTTCGCTTAGAAAGTTTTTGTTATTGTTTTGTGTGTTTGTCCTATTGGAATATCTTTTGCTATCATTCGTATTTGCTTTCATTGTTAAGATACTGGTATTGTGTGTCTGTGAAATGCTTGTCGTGACCGTCACCGGTTGGTATGTGTATGTATTCACCATGCCAAGGAGAATCAGTGGAGAAACCATATCAATAGGACCACGCACAAAACAATATTGTATACTTCACACAAACTAACCAATGCTATCTAGTGCAAAGCCATTGAGATTCCATTGATTAATTTTATTGAAATAGAAACAAAAAGTTGTTACAATTTTTGAAATTGAAAAAAAAAGAAATAAATGAAAGATTTCTTTAAAAAAAAACACCCGAAGAATCGAATGGCAACGTCAAAGTTTCACAATTTATTTCAATGTTTCGATTTATTGCTTCCGAGTGGAATTGATAAGAAAAGTTCGAAGTCATTCAAAGCAATTGATAACAGAACAAAAGTTCTAAAACCTTTATTAGCGATCAAAAGTGTACACTCATTATATGTCACATATGAAAATAGAAGCGAACGCTTAATCGCGATTAAGAATCGATTTGTTTATTTCATTTAAATCACGAGCGAGAAAATACCTACTTTTATTGAGAAAGCAAATCGAAGAGTGAATAAACTGAATGCACACTTCTAGAGATGATGATTCAGGGTTTAAATTTTGAGCGTGAAAGTTTGGAAAAATGTGTTGTTTCATCATTCTAAATATATGAGCATGTTCTGCTTAAATAAATTGAAATCGCGTGCATTTCGTTGAATCCATGCTGGAAAAAAATATGCACAAACATCATTATTTTCCAGTGCATCTAGTTCATCGTACGTTTTTTTAGCATTTTTTCCATTGTTTTCTGTTGGTTAACCCGATAAATTCTTTTTGTTTCTTATTTTTTATGTCATTTTTGTTTTGATTATGCAAATACATCGACATTGGCTAGTGCGGTCGATTAGTGTCACTGTTCGCTTTCGTTGATGATTCTGATGATTGAAGCAATAGCATTCCATTGTTTTTATTTTTCAATTGAATTTTTTTCACTTTTGTTTATATTCCAGAGTTTTTTCTTTCGTTAATTCCTTCGATGGAACTGTCGAAATTGCATAAAATTGCAGAATATTTTCCAATTTTCGGTTTCTTCAACGATTTTTGCATCGGGGCTTTTGCTAACATCAACAACATTCAATAATGTTTTCTGTCGAAAAACTGTGTCTCTTATGCATTGTTTTATTAACCTGAAAAAAATGTGCAGCTACCGCTCAATGTTTGCAAGAGCCAATTCAAAAGTCCACATTGCAGTGATTTTAATTCGATAGAAACAAACTGACATTTACTCAATGTATCGATCTAATTTTTATCGTTTCAAAGTCAGCGTAATTTTCATGTGCATGTATGTGTTCATTGTTCTTTTCATATTCTACCGCATGGTTAATTAGATAAAATATTGAACGTGATTATGGCTTCTTCTGCAGTGTCGAGTGTTCTACTAAAAGCGGAACAGTAGAGCAAAAAAACACACAATTGTGACAAAAATGACCTTTTTGGCCAATTAGCTGTGCACATCTATAACTATTTTTGGTGTCGGCAGTTAGTTCACTTATGCATCGACTAATCGATTTTTCGTCGCGGTAAAAGAAAATGAAAAATTCATTCGACACTGAGGCAGACCAATTTGCATTGCTCTTCCGCAGTATTGAAAATGTGCAATCGAAACTCGTGCCCACGTATGACAAGCACATGGCAGCTTCTCTCTGATGTATTTAAAAATATATAGAATATAACAATTGACTCATTTCTCATTGATGCACAATTTTATCTCTATTTAATTTGTCTTTGCCATACTTTTCCATTTCTTTTCTTTTTTCAAATGAATATCGAAATAAATTTTGAAGTCGAAATTTTGGCCCAAATATTCTTCGACCGAAGCAATCACTTCTCAAAAAAAAACTCTTGAATTTGTGTTGAAGTTAAAAAAGTTCGACTCAAATATGCAAAAAAAAAAACACTCTCGTGTCAATCTAAGATCTCAGATCTGTCTCGCATCGATCATTTGGTGTGATCATTTTTAATGTTTGAACTAAAGTTCTGCAAAGAATTGGGTCATAAAATGCGTGGTTTTGTCAATTCTTTAAACCTGGTGTAATTTTTCTCTTTTCAGTTTCTCTGTAGTTACAGCCGTAATTTGTTTCAAGTAGAGACTTGAGATAGCTCAAATGTGTCATCCAGAATAAGTGTGCTTATAAAGATCGATAAAAATCGAATCGATTACATCGTTTTCACCGTCTAATTCATATGTGGCACACGAATGGTGTTGAACAAAGAATATTGTATTGTAAAAATAGGGCCAAGCGCGCGCGCTTCAATTATGTTTCTTAAACAGCTACTGACTGGTATATCGGAGTGAGTGCGAGAGGCCCTCAATTTTCGGCATAGAACATTTTCAGTAAAACAAATAGAAAATAACTGTTTTTTTTTATTCGCTTAAAAAGAACGGAAAGCCGAAATTGATTGAAGACTGTTTTTCATCTTTTTTCGGTTTCGTTTTTTGTCATTCTCTCTCTGTGTGTCTCCCTCGATTGGCATCAATATAATTTTTGTGTGTTTAAGTTTTGTGTGGCATTCAGAAGACTTAGAAACCATAAATTATGACGAATTTTCCATTTAACCACAAATGGTGTGTCTGTGGCTGTATGTTTGTGCGAATGAGAGTCATTAAGTTTCCATTTCGAGGCAACAAAACGAGAAAACACCCAAAAAATACGCACACACACACCACGAAATTTTTTGGTGAAATATATGTGCTAATGAAACGAAGTAGAAAAAAGAAGCAGAAGAAAAAGAAACTTTTTCTTTCGGGGCTTTATGTTGTTCCGTTTCTGTGTTTGCTTTTGTTGATGCGCAAATATATGAATTTAATGTGGGAAT